GGAAAGAGATGGGGGACTCACCAGGCAGTGGAGAAGTCAGAACACACACACCATTTATGGGTTAAGTTCACTATCTTACATGGGTGCAGTCTGTGGTGCCCCCAGAAAATTACAATACTAACATCAAAGATCACTGATTAGACACCACCATAACAAATACAATAACAATGAAAGAGTTTGAAATACTGTGAAAATTACCAAAATGTCACACAGAGACACGAAGTAATAAGCAAATGCTGTTAGAAAAATGGTTCTGATAGATTTGTCTGAAGCAGGGTTGCCTTAAACTTTCAAGCTGTAAAAACCACAATTATCTGTGAAGTGAAGTAAAGTAAAATGCAATAAAAAAAAGGTACACTTGTATTTCTGTTCAAAGTCTAGTTAAAATTCAGGTTTCATAATCCCTAAATTGTGGTCTTTAAATACCACTTCCCACTAAAAGGAACAAGCGCTTTTTGGAGAAATGGCTGTTTTCAGGACTGAGGCAGGAAATGTTTAAGAGAACACTTTGTCATGGTAGAAAGCAAGGAAGCTCTCCAGGAGTGCTAAGGTCATGTCATAAGGATTCAGGAAGCAGCTTAAAGAGTTGGGAGAGTAAGAAAAATAAATACAGTGTATTAAAATACTTTAAATATTTTTAAATCCATGAGTTCATAACAACACTAAAACAAACAACAAACTCACTCATTAACTATCTCAGGAGGATATGACAGAACTGATTAATTAATTAATTAATTCAGGGATCTAAGCAAATGATTTTCTATGACAACTAACATCACAGAAAGAGAGACAACCAGATATGTGCCACCTGTTTGAGGTTTCTTCAACAGAAAAATTGCTAGGAAAGAAGAGTCAATCTATAGACTAAAAAAGACTTAAGGGACACATCAACTGATTGAATGTACTGATCTTATTTGGATTCATATTCAAATAAAATATTTTTTTAAAATCTTAATAGATTTGGGAAAATTTAAATGCTGGCCCCAAACTATGATTTTTTAAGTGTGATAATGTCACTGTTCTTTTTTTAAAAAAAATTCCTTACTTTTTAGAGATTTATACTGAGATATTTATTGGTGAAATAGTATGACATCTAGGATTTACTTCAAAATCATCTAGTGGCTGTTAGGAGAGTATTAAGGGTAGAAGACAGACTGGTTATAAGTTAATAATTATTGAAGCTGAATGAATGAGTCTAGAGCTGAATGAGTTCATTCACTTCACATTTATGTAAGTTTGAAATTTTATATAATAAGTTAAAATAATATTGAGGGTACACTAAAAGTTGGAAAATAAATGTTCTATCTCAGTGCTATTTATTTATACTTTTACATATACTTTTTTACATTACATTAAATATTAATTTTTATTTACCTTCTTACTTAGTCTTTGATTTTCTTTTTCAATTTTCAGGATTTTGGAAGTGGTGCCTTCTGCAGAATCCATAGTACTCCGAAGCTCTTCTACAGTTTTTGTCAAACTCTGATTTTCCATCTCCAACTTCAACAACCTACTTGATGTCAATTCATTTACCTCATGGCCCAAGGATTTCTGTGGTGCTATAATATTGAAAAATACGTCACTGGTAAAACTATGTTTACTCTTCACTATTTAAAATATTTAGTGTAAATACACTAAATCACCTGGTCCTTAACTTTATAAAAAATTTATAAAGTTATGCAAGATAGATACAATAAGAAAAGAGGTATAAAATACAGGTAAATATTGAATTTCTAATGCATCCATAAGCATTCTAGTGAAAAAAAAAAGTACAAAATTTAGACTGAAGTGACTAGACTTTCAGTTCTAGTTCCATGAGAAATTAACTTTAACCTCAATGACTCTTAGGTCAGTTTGACAAAATATAGTTATTACCCTGTGTATCTAATAGAGTCACTGTGTGACTCAAATAAGAAGTATAAAGCATATCCTACGTCACACTTTCAAAGATAAAGGAAAACAGTTTGAGGAGGAAAAAAATCCTAATCTGATTCTGAGAAAGGCAAGACAGTACTATACACTGGTCACTTCGAAAAAGTCTTTCTCTGAGTGAAGAATCCTGGCTCATTACGTATAAACAGCAACATGCAGTCCATTCTGCCAACAGAAATCATCTTTCTAAGTAGCTTTCAGCATTCTATTTTTTAAAATAAGAAAACTGAGTTTCGACTTCTGTAAATGATGCTCTCCAGTAAGCCAAAAATAATTATTTTTAATAACCCTAAAACAGACTCATTAAATATTTTGATGATATAAAAATATTAGGATTTACAAATGAAATATGATACTTAGAATTTATTTTGAAATCCTAGACTTCAGGAAGGGAAATAAACAGAAATACAGGAGGGAACTTCTGGGTCTGTCTACTTTTGCTACGTTTGAAATCCTCCATCGTAAAAAGCAAAGAAACACACACACACAAACATGTAGCCACACAAGTCATACATTCTTTTAAAAATGAGGTAGAGTAAAATATCCCCTAGATTTTAAGTAAAGAAAGCCTCAATTCTTATTTCAAGCTTTTGTTCTAGTCAGCACACTGTTAATCTTTTATTAAAAGCTAGTATACTAGGTAGTCATTGACTTTTTATAAATTCCATTAGTTGTCCAAGTCTTCTTAAGTCCAACTCTAATTGCATGATTTGAGGTCATGCATTTCAATTAAACAAGATCAGGCTACAAAACATGATATGCCTTAATAAAGCTTGCAATACTACATGCTTTGAGGAAGCTTCCAGTCAGACTACAAAGACTTTAAAAGGATACTTACAACACATTTTTAACACGGAAGATTGTCTACGTTATATTCTTAGATGAAAAAAGGAAACTTAATTGTATATACACACTGATCTGATGATATAAAAAATAACCCTGTGTAGGAAAATTCTAGAAGCAAATTTTGTGAAATGTAAAAGGCAAGAATTATTAGTGACTTTGATTTCCTTCTTTATCTTTTTCCAGAGTTTGCAAATTTTCTAGAAAGTCCCTTGTATAGTTAAAAAAAAAACTATGCCACACTAAATGAATTTTATGTTCTATGACCCCTGCAAAACAACTGTGATATAATGATAATAATAATAAAAAACACTCAAATGCTTACTATTTACTAGGCACAGTTCTAAAGGGCTTCATTAACAAATTCAACCCTCATAACAACCCTGTAAGATAGTACTTACTATTATTATCCCCACTTAACAGGTGAGAAAACTCCTAACAGTGTAATTTTAACTGTAGTAGTAGAAAACATTTAAGTCTGAATTGTTTTCTTTGTAACTCAATTCACATGGAATACAGTTAAAAAGTTCCACAAATATTTTAAGTAACACATCCCAGCAAATTCATTCTCAGCTGAACATAATCACTTACTATGAAGTCAATTTACATGGGGTGCCAGAATCCGGAATTAGGTTCTCAAGTGTAAAATTAGGAAAAGCCTAATAGTAATGAATATGATGAGTCATCTGTAGAAGTAACTTCTTTAAGCGCCAGGTTATAAGCTCTTTCAGACCTTATGTCTACCTCACCACTATATCCTCAGGGCCTGGTATAATATTCTACATATGGTAGGTGCTTAATACATATCTGCTGAAGGAAGAAAAACAGGTATAATAATCTAAATACTGGGTAACTAAGGAATTAGGGAACGAGTCTAATTCAAATAAATGTGACCTGGGTATAATTTCAATAAAGTATTGTATAGCAGTATTAGCAAACTCAAAGCTTTAACACAAAAAGCCACATTGTATGTGTGTGCCCCAGCTTTAATAAAGAGGACAAGTTAATGTGGAGCCTAGGGAAATAGAGCCAAAAGTTAAAAATTTATCTGGGGTCTTTCATTACCTCCAGGGTATAAATGGTAGGTATAATCCCAAAATCCAACATACTGATGAAAGTAGCCATAAAGATCCTTAACTTGCTTTATTCTGGCTACATATTCACCAAAGAATATTTCCACTGCATTCTGATTTCCTATTTAGGTTTGCCTAAAGTCAAAGAACATGGTGACCAGCTAATGACTTTTCTTTTCTATTTAGTAGATGGCTGTATCTCTCAAAATAAATTAATAAACTGATATCCCAGTTTATTGTGATATGAACATGAAATTGTGCCTAAACAACTGATCGAATCTGCTACTGCACTCAAAGTTGAGTTGTAAGACATGCAAAGATAAGGACCAGACCCAGGCATATGGAAATTAACACATTACTCTGTGAAATTCTATCTAGAGAGATATGTGGCCTTTTGCGACATCTCCAATCAGGGAAAATAAAGAACAGCAATGAAATATCCAGAAATGTATGCATAAATACAATTTCATTTATTCATTCATCCATTTAAATTAAAAAAAAGAGTATTGGAAATACCTTCAGAAAGTTCACTAGTTCTGGATATTTGTTCCAGCTCCCAGCCAAGATGTAATGATTCGTCCATACTTTGTTTCTGTGCCATTTCCAAAGTCATATTTTCTTCCATTAATTCTTCAATCTTTTTTCTATCCATATCATGCTCCTTTTTTATTGGCAGGGAGTAGGGAGAGAAAAGAAAGCTAAGAAACAGTACAATTTCAAGCTAATATTTTATTACTTATAACTTTCATTTATCAGAAACTGTATAATGAGATAAATTGTGAGTTCCTTAAAATTTTCACAATTTGAAGCTAATAATCAATTATAATTATTACTGCCAGTCACTAAACTGATCAGGTCTCTGACATCTTTTTATAGTGATCTTTGGGGACACTGAAAACACTTCTTCATAGTCATTATATTGTTTTAATGATATAACAAATGATTTCTGACCCAATGATAAATTTTAGCAAATAGTTGTATTTCTATATTCTAAAGGAGTGTTTGCACAACAGCTTATTAGGGTTTTCTGAAAAGCAGTAGTCAAAATTAATAAATAATACCCCTCTGTAACAAAAGCAGAAATTTCTACTACTTCTGAATTCATATAAAATTGGAAGCATCTAATTTATTTAGCTATCTCTTCTCTGTTAAGGCCTTAAGGACACTAACCAACCTTGTCACTATACGGAAATCAGATAAATCTTAGAATTTTTACTTACAGGCCATGTAATAAATCTACCTTACATACGTACCATTTCCATATCATGCAGTTTAGCCTTCAGTTGTAAATTTTCTTTTTCTAATTCATGTAATTTATCAGAACGAGCTCGAGTTCCTTCTAATTGGTCTTCCAACATGGTTTTTGTTTCTAATAAAACTTGATTGTCTTCTTTTAATTCCTGTAAACATTTCAAGTAGGCTTTATTTGTCACAAATACATTAATATGTTAATCTTTAAAGCTCTGAAACATAAAAATTATTTATTATAAAGTAAGACATTAAGCGGTCTTTATCAACAGTTCTATGCAAGAGTAAAGCTACTGAATAACAGAAACATAGTTGGTTTCATTTTATTTCCCAGAATTTAAGTTATTATATAAACAAAATACTCAGGACTTACATTAGGATGAATAATACTACTATAATTTCACATGAAATTGTCAGGGTATATTAAAATTCCTTAGTCACAAGGATAAGGAACTCAGTGTAAGTAGTCTTCCAGATACTTAACACACCAATCGCCATAGAATCAGGGCTTAATTTATTTAGGGAAATAGATTTAGATTTCTCTCTACTTGAAAGTGAAGAATTTGGGGTTTTTGAGTAAAATACCAAGATCTGAATTAAGACTCACACAATCATAAACCAAGGCTTTATCAATAAATATTTTATATAAACATCTTTAAACTCCTAGGTATGTTTTGAAGACATGTTCACAAATCTATATTGCTAAGTTTAAGCCTACAGTTTATAAGCTGAAGTCAAGAGAAAGTATATTAAAACAGTGGCATCCATGAGGATCCCTTAATAGTGCCATGCATACGCCTATTTAAACAATTAACAAAGAACTAATATACACCTTATCTTTGTACTCTATTGGGTCTATTTTCTGGTAACATTCAGGCTAAGTTCTAACGTTCTCTTATAATGTTTTCATTTCCTGATTTAGCATACTCCTTCTTTCTTATCCCCATATTAAAACTGACCAAAATCTCCTCTGTTTACAGACAATGAAGAAATCACAGAGAAAGGAAAAAAGAATGCCAAGAAGCAAGGATTTTCAAATTATTGCTGTCAAACCCAACATCATGTAACACAGAACTGCAATCATTAACTAAGAAAAATTGTTTTTTCTAGTTTGTTCATACATATATATAAAGAGAGAAGACAAATGGGGGTGGGAGGGAAGAGAGATAGAGAGATAGATAGATAGAGAGAGAGAGAGAGAGAGAGAGAGAGAGAGAGAGAGGGAGGCAGATATTGATTTCCCCTTCATTGATCCTAATTTAGTATTCTGAGTTGAGCAGCAATCAGAAATGTGTTTCACACTCACTTCTAGGAACGAGTTAGAAATTAGTAGAGATATATGCTTTATTGTGATTTCAAAAGTCTTCACTACATGTAATACTAAATAAAGGAATGAAAGAAGAGCCCCAAAGAATTAATAAAATGAATAGCATCCAAAAATCCCTTTTTACAAGTCTAAACAATATGCTAATCTATCATAAAATAAACAGCTGATGCTATTTACAGTTTGCTCAATGTTTCCAGAGTTCCTTACATTTACTAAAGTGCATTTCAAATGCATTTTGAAAAATCATAATACTTCCAAAGAAAAGAACTGTGAATGGTTTAAATTACGTAACATACCTCAACTCTTGCCTTATAAAATTCAATATCATGTAGCCTTTCTTTGTATCTGCTAACTTCACTTTCAAGCTTATCAACTCTGACAGCCTTCTCCCGAAGCGCATCTAATTCATCTCGATACATTCTTGCAGAACGAGCATCCGAAAGCAAATTCATGTTCTAAATATAAACACATATTAATATTTAAAATATTATTTTCTATTTTCAAATTGATAATCCTTGGGTTGTACAATTTGAAGAATTTACCAAAAAACCACACAAAAAAACAATGACTTGTGTACTTTTTTTTTGGCCGCGCCCTGTGGCATGTAGGATCTTAGCTCTCCGACCAGGGATCAAACCCGTGTCCCCTGCATTGGAAGCCCAGAGTCTTAACCACTGGACTACCAGGGAAGTCCCTGACTTGTGTACTTTATTATTATTATTTTTAAATTATTTATTTATTTGCACCGGGTCTTCATTGTGGGAGGCGGGCTCCTTAGTTGCATTTCGCGGGCTCCTTAATTGCATTTCGCCAGCTCCTTAGTTGCGGCACATGAGGTCCTTAGCTGTGGCATGCAAACTGTTAGTTGCGGAATGTGTGTGGGATCTAGTTCCCTGACCAGGGATTGAACCCAGGTCCTCTGCATTGGGAGCGCAGAGTCTTATCCACTGCGCCACCAGGGAAGTCCCTGACTTGTGTACTTTAAAAGTGTGATTTTTGTGGGACGAGGAGGCCAAGTGGTTAAGGCAATGGACTGCAAAAAGTGTAAATTCAATGGTATATAAATTACACCTTAATTATTTTTAAATGGGGAGATAAAAAAGCCTTTTTTTAAACCAAGAATATGCATTTTAAACATATATGTTTCTAGGTACTTCCCTGGTGGTCCAGTGGCTAAGACTCCATGCTCCCAATGCAGGGGGAGTGGGTTTGATCCCTGCTCAGGGAACAAGATCCCACATGCTGCAACTAAGAGTTCGCATGCTGCAACTAAAGATCCCAAATGCAGCAATGAAGATCCTGCACATGGCAATGAAGATCCTGCATGCCACAACTAATACTCAGTGCAGCTAAATAAATAAATGAATGTTAAAAAATAATAATAAAATTTTAAAAAATGTTTCTATACAAAAATAAAAGCATATGCTGTATAAAAACTTTTATATATAATGTTCTCCATTAAGAATGTAAAAAATATTCAGGATATTTTAAAGTAAGTAAACCTCTCCTCAACATAACCATTTGCAATGAATTTAAGGGGAAAAGTTAACTTTAAAATGCCAGATAGTAAAAACACAGAAGAGGCAAACTCTTACAAAAGTTGATCATTAGTTGCTTTAGAGAAATAATGTTTCTATCCAGACATGTTACCAAAATCCTGCTGAGTTGTTTGTTTGTTTGTTTTTCCAGTACGCGGGCCTCTCATTGTTGTGGCCTCTCCCGCTGCGGAGCGCAGGCTCCAGACGTGCAGGCTCAGCGGCATGGCTCACGGGCCTAGCCGCTCCGCGGCATGTGGGATCTTCCCGGACCGGGCCACGAATCCATGTCCTCTGCATCGGCAGGCAGACTCTCAACCACTGCGCCACCAGGGAAGCCCATGTTGAGTTTTTAATACTTTCACATGAATGATTACTTGCATATGATTAGTGCATATCTTTACGCCATTTGAAATAAGTATTAAAATTCAACTTTTTAAAGCCCTCTTGTAATCCTTTGAGTAGCAGTAATCAAAGTGTGATCCAGGGAAATCTGTGGGTCCCTGAAACCCTTCCAGGGAATTCATGAGGTCAAAACTATTTTCATAATAATACTAAGACAGTACTTGCTGTTTTCACTCTCATTCTCTCATGAAGGGACGGTGGAGTTTTCCAGAGGCTACATACATGGCATGTGATATCTTAACAAATTGAATGCAGAAATATTCAATAGATATGAGACTCTGGTAGTCTTCAATTAATCCAGGCATTTAAAAAAGATTTGCAAAAAATATAAAAGACTACTATTCTTCTAATTTTTTTTTTTTTGGAAAATAATGGTTAATTACTATATAATTTTTATGTTAACATGGAGTGGATTGAGTATTATTTTTAAATGAATTAATAAATACTTTTAAAATTCTTAGTTTTGATTTCAAATATAGTAAATTCCAGTAAAGAGAATACACATTAAATAATCTTCATTAATCTTCAAGAGTAAAGAAGGGTCTTGAGACCAAAAAGATTGAGAACCACAATTTTAGATGGAACACAAATACAAAAAAACCCTGCTACCAAGAAGTGGAGTAGCAGCAACAGCAAACCTAGAACTAAAAATTATGATCCCTAGATTCATTCATCTAGAAAGTTCCCAGTTTATGATTCCACAAGTGAAATGTTCCCTGAATTTAAAATGGCAGGTTAGGTGAAGTAAGAAGAAATAATTATGCAGCCTTACCCCAATCCTTACCATTTATGGGTTAAAGAAGACCTCTTGTACTACCTCTAAATGAAAATGAAACATTACAGAGTAATTAAAAGAAGCAAATTCTTAAACAGTCTTGGTTCAAGATGAAAAAACACAAAGCATTAGAAAAATAAAAATAGTATTTAAAAAAGTAAAAGTCTGGATCTTATTTAGTAGAAACAGTGAAAAATTAAAAAGCATTCTGTCATATATAAGGTTAACATAAAGCACCATGAGACAGCAGAGACCTAGAGGTGTTCCCGCTTCCAAGCCCACAGAAGCCAATACATAAAAAAGAAAAACCTGGAACTGGGCCAGTCGTAAGAGTCTCCTTGGAATCTTAGCAAAGTTTGAATAGAACTAATAGAGAAAAAAGAAAACTCCAAAGACCTTTCTAGTTTTGATTTCTAGTTTTGGTTGTGGCATTTTTGAAGAGAGAAACACTGAAAAAGTCATTGGATCTCATGAAACCTCAGGAAGCAGTAAGGCAAATGTTATATATTATAAGGAGAAAAATCTATTTCCAATTGATCCTATATAACAAAAGTTCCAGGTACAAACCTCTTGTTGCAGCCTTTTTAGTTCTATTTCCATTTGCTCAAGTTCTTGTTTACAGTCCAACAACTGTTCAGTCTTTTCCTCCCTTAAATGCAAAAAATATTTATTGAGCAATAAACTTAATGCTTTGAAAACTATGATCATCATCTGTATCAATACAAATTTATTATCATTACTAAACATCTAGTTTAACATAGTACTGGCCATAACCACAACCTAGGGAAAAAGATAAAGAAATTGGTATTAGGAATTTATATGACTGGATGTCATGATACTCTCCCTTAAAGTTCTCCAAAGGCTAAGAACCTCAGTGACTAATGTCCTCATAGTTCATAAGGTAGCTTCTCTCTCTTCATCTTTTCTGCCATCCCCCAATTCTCACTCTCCTTTAGCTCTTTCTCCCTCTCTGCCTAGTCAAAGACAAATAAGCTGTTAGAGTTTTTATGAAAGGCAATACTATCTGGGTCTGAGACTTCTAACAGTCTCCAAACTATTTTTTTTTAAATAAATTTATTTATTTATTTTTGGCTGCGTTGGGTCTTAGTTGCTGTGCCCGGGCTTTCTCTAGCTGTGGCGAGCGGGGGTTCTCTTTGTTGCTGTGTGTGGGCTTCTCATTGCAGTGGCTTCTCTTGTTGCGGAGCACACGCTCTATGCGCACGGGCTTCAGTAGTTGTGGCTCGGGGGGCTCTAGAGCGCAGGCTCAGTAGTTGTGGCTTGTGGGCTTAGTTGCTCTGCGGCATGTGGGATCTTCCCACACCAGGGCTGGAACCCGTGTCCCCTGAATTGGCAGGCAGATTCTTAACCACTGCGCCACCAGGGAAGCCCAAACTATTTTCAACATTTACAACGACCTAAAGAAAATGATACACTGCCACAGATAACTAATACATTTTTGACCGGAGACATATTACAGCTACAGGAGTTAGTTTCTGCAAAAATACCCCTGCTAAAATCTTTAACTCTATTGGTTTCTTCCCTGTAGTCTAGACATCTTTGTATTTCTCCTACTATACACTTTTTTCTTTTTAAATTGCTTTACTTCTAACTCCCATTTTCTATCTCCCCTCCAGAGCGAAGCTTCTCAAAGTTAAGTCTCCACTCACTATCTCTACTTGTCCATCTTCTGTTCTTAAATAATAAAAAGTAAATGTTCATTATGTAAAACAATCTGTTTCTAACATCTTATACCTGCTTAGGTTTAAAATATTTTTTCACCAGAAAAATTTTTTATTGAAGTATACTTGACATACAATGTTATGTAAGTTATGGATATACACTACAGTGATTCAAAATTTTTAAAAGTTATACTCCATAAAATATTGGCTATATTCCCTGTGCTGTACACAATATATCCTGTAGCTTACTTTATACATAAGTTGTACCTCTTAATCCCCTACTCTTATATTGCCCCTCCCCCTCCCTCTACCAATTGGTAACCACTGGTTTGTTCCCTATATCTATGAGTCTGTTTCTTTCTTGTTACATTCACTAGTTTGTTTTATTTTTTAGATTCGACACATAAGTGACATCATACAGTATTTGTCTTTCTCTGTCTGACTTACTTCACTTAGCATAATACCCTCCAAGTCCATCCATGTCGTTTTAAATGGCAACATTTCATTTTTTATGGCTGTGTAGCACTCCATTCTATGTATATATACCACTATTCTTTTTTTTTTTTTAACATCTTTATTGGAGTATAACTGCTTTACAATGGTGTTAGTTTCTGCTTTATAACAAAGTGAATCAGTTATACATATACATATATCCCCATATCTCCTCCCTCTTGTGTCTCCCTTCCTCCCACCCTCCCTATCCCACCCCTCTAGGTGCTCACAAAGCACTGAGCTGATCTCCCTGAGCTATGCAGCTGCTTCCCACTAGCTATCCATTTTACATTTGGTAGTGTATATATGTTCATGCCACTCTCTCACTTTGTCCCAGCTTACCCTTCCGCCTCCCCGTATCCTCAAGTCCATTCTCTAGTAGGTATGCGTCTTTATTCCAGTCTTGCCCCTAGGTTCATGACCACTTTATTTTTTGTTTTGCAGATTCCACATATATATGTATTAGCATACGATATTTGTTTTTCTCTTTCTGACTTATTTCACTCTGTATGACAGACTCTAGGTCCATCCACCGCACTACAAATGACTCAATTTCGTTTCTTTATATGGCTGAGTAATATTCCATTGTATATATGTGCCACATCTTCTTTATACATTCATTTGTTGATGGACGCTTAGGTTGCTTCCATGTCCTGGCTATTATAAACAGAGCTACAATGAACACTGTGGTACATGAATCTTCTTTTTGAATTACGGTTTTCTCAGGGTATATGCCCAGTAGTGAGATTGCTGGGTCATATGGTAGTTCTATTTTTAGTTTCTTAAGGAACTTCCATACTGTTCTTCATAGTGGCTGTATCAATTTACATTCCCACCAACAGTGCAAGAGGGTTCCCTTTTCTCCACACCCTCTCCAGCATATATTGTTTGTAGATTTTTTGAGGATGGCCATTCTGACTGGTGTGAGATGATATCTCATTGTAGCTTTGATTTGCATTTCTGTAATGATTAATGATGTTCAGCATTCTTTCATGTGCTTGTTGACAATCTGTACATCTTCTTTGGAGAAATGTCTATTTAGGTCTTCTGCCCATTTTTGGACTGGGTTGTTTGTTTTTGTGATATTGAGCTGCATAAGCTGCTTGTAAATTTTGGAGATTAATTCTCTGTCAGTTGCTTCATTTGCAAATATTTTCTTGCATTCTGAGGGTTGTCTTTTCATCTTGTTTATGGTTTCCTTTGCTGTGCAAAAGCTTTTGAGTTTCATTAGGTCCTATTTGTTTATTTTTGGTTTTATTTCCATTTCTCTAGGAGGTGGGTCAGAAAGGATCTTGCTGTGATTTATGTCATAGAATGTTCTCCTATGTTTACTCTAAGAGTTTGATAGTGTCTGGCCTTACATTTAGGTCTTTAATCCATTTTGAGTTTATTTATTTTTGTGTATGGTGTTAGGGAGTGTTCTAATTACATTCTTTTACATGTAGCTGTCCAGTTTTCCCAGCATCACTTATTGAAGAGGCTGTCTTTTCTCCACTGTGTATTCTTGCCTCCTTTATGAAAGATAAGGTGACCATATATGTGTGGGTTTATCTCTGGGATTTCTACCGTCCCATTGATCTACATTTCTGTTTTTGTGCCAATACCATACTGTCTTGATTACTGTACCATAGTCTGAAGTCAGGGAGCCTGATTCCTCCAGCTCCGTTTTTCTTTCTCAATACTGCTTTGGTTATTCAGGGTCTTTTGTGTTTCCATACAAACTGTGAAATGTTTTGTTCTAGTTCTGTGAAAAATGCCATTGGTAGTTTGATAGGGATTGCACTAAATCTGTAGATTGCTTTGGGTAGTATAGTCATTTTCACAATGTTGATTCTTCCAATCCACGTAGATGGTATTATCTGTCCCTCTGTTTGTATCATCTTTAATTTCTTTCATCAGGGTCTTATAGTTTTCTGCATACATGGTCTTTTGTCTCCTTAGGTAGGTTTATTCCTAGATATTTTATTATTTTTGTTCCAAGGGTAAAAGGGAGTGTTTTCTTAATTGCACTTTCAGATTTTTCATCATTAGTGTATAGGAATGCAAGAGATTTCTGTGCATTAATTTTTTATCCTGCTACTTTACCGAATTCATTGATTAGCTCTAGTAGTTTTCTGGTAGCATCTTTAGGATTCTCTATGTGTAGTATCATGTCATCTACAAACAGTGACAGCTTTACTTCTTCTTTTCCAATTTGTATTCCTTTTATTTCTTTTTCTTCTCTAGTTGCTGTGGCTAAAACTTCCCAAACTATGTTGAATAAGAGTGGTGAGAGTGGGCAACCATGTCTTGCTCCTAATCTTAGTGGAAATGGTTTCAGTTTTTCACCATTGAGAACGATGTTGGCTGTGGGTTTGTCACATATGTCCTTTATTATGTTCAGGTTAAGTTCCCTCTATGTCTACTTTCTGGAGGGTTTTTATCATAAATGGGTGTTGAATTTTATTGAAAGCTTTCTCTGCATCTATTGAGATGATCATATGGTTTTTCTCTTTCAATTTGTTAATATGGTGTGTCACATTGATTGATCTGTGTATATTGAAGAATCCTTGCATTCCTGGGATAAACCCCACTTGATCTGGTGTATGATTCTTTTAATGTGCTGTTGGATTCTGTTTGCTAGTATTTTGTTGAGGATTTTTGCATCTATATTCATCAGTGATATTGGCCTGTAGTTTTCTTTCTTTGTGACATCCTTGTCTGGTTTTGGTATCAAGGTGATGGTGGCCTTGTAGAATGAGTTTGGGAGTGCTCCTCCCTCTGCTATATTTTGGAAGAGTTTGAGAAGGATAGGTGTTTAGCTCTTCTCTAAATGTTTGATAGATTCGCCTGTGAAGCCATCGGGTCCTGGACTTTTGTTTGTTGGAAGATTTTTAACCACAGTTTCAATTTCAGTTTTTGTGATTGGTCTGTTCATATTTTCTATTTCTTCCTGGTTCAGTCTTGGAAGGTTGTGCATTTCTAAGAATTTATCCATTTCTTCCAGGTTGTCCATTTTATTGGCATATAGTTGCTTGCAGTAATCTCTCATGATCCTTTGTATTTCTGCAGTGTCAGTTGTTACTTCTTTTTCATTTCTAATTCTCTTGATCCGAGTCTTCTCCCTTTTTTTCTTGATGAGTCTGGCTAATGGTTTATCAGTTTTGTTTATCTTCTCAAAGAACCAACTTTTAGTTTTATTGATCTTTGCTATCGTTTCCTTCATTTCTTTTTCATTTATTTCGGATCTGATCTTTATGATTTCTTTCCTTCTTCTAACTTTGGGTTTTTTTTTTATTCTTTCTCTAAGTGCTTTAGGTGTAAGGTTAGGTTGTTTATTTGAGATGTTTCTTGTGTCTTAAGGTAGGACTGTATTGCTATAAACTTCCCTCTTAGAACTGCTTTTACTGCATCCCATAGGTTTTGTGTCTTCGTGTTTTCATCGTCATTTGTTTCTAGGTATTTTTTGATTTCCTCTTTGATTTCTTAAGTGATCTCT